CAGGAAAGAAAGTTCACACACACAGGTGAGCACTTTGCCTTTCGACTCCTCAAAGATAACGGCTGTTATAGCCTTTTAGATTGACTGTATTCTCTCATCACTCATGTAGAGGATGGCAGACCCCCTGTGTGTATGTGTATGTTGAGGAGGGGGGTGTCTGTGTGGGAGGTGTCTCTCATCTAAGATGTTTGGGGGAGGGTTTGTCCCCCAGGAAGAACATTCCAGAAGAAACAGCAATGCAAAGGCCCAGAGGTTGAATTATGCTGCTCCAATCGGCTCTGCTCATTCAAATCCTTAAGGCCTGTTGTAGGTTTTTTCTTGAGAGGGCGGCTTCTTATTGGAGGTATTTACACTGCTAAGTTGCCCATTTATCAGCTTAGCCCATTTGTATGCCATGCTCTCAAAAGATTTGCAAATCTCCTTTGTGATTTCTTCTTTGACCATTGGTGAAGTCTGTTGGTCAGTATGATCTATTACTATATGTTGCATATTAGTATGCAGGGCTCCTTCCAAGAGTGTTTTGGGAACTATCAGGGCAGGGATTAAGCCCAGGTAGCTTCCTACACCTATGATGGTAGAGACAGTGTTGCTGGCTCACCAAGTTACAGGTGGTTTGGATAGGTCTAAGAAGCTGAGAATCTAGAAGCCTCTTTCTCACACAGTGAGGTCCACAAACCCAGTGCTAAGGTATGCGGCACCTATTTTAAACAGTGGCTGTAGTGATAGTCAGGTGTTTGCCTTACACTAGCCAACGTGGGATCAGTCCCTGACATCCCAGATGGTCCCCCAAGCATGCCAGAAGTAATTCCTGCGTGCAGAGCCATAGCACTGCCAGGAGTGACTCCCAAGAGCTAAGGGCAGTCTGAGGACCACGAGGTGTGCTCCCTTCCCAAAATTCATTCATCAGATTCTTGATTATCTTGTATGTAGGAAGAACTTCATTAGACACTGAGGCGAACAGTCAGATCACCTCTTAAGACGCTTTAATTTATATGGAAATGAGATCTAAAAGTCTTAAAGCATTGATTTGGTGTCACACTTTGGTGATTCCTTTGTATGATTCCTTTGTATTTAGTACCGAGAAGGTAAAGTGGTAGGAGTTGAGACTCGAAGATGAATTTTCAGGACCAGCTAATTCTGGGCATTTATATCTGTGCTGAAACTGTGGTTCCCAGAATATTTGTTCATTTGTTCCAGCTAACATTTAGGGAATGTAACTTATAACATTATCTTGCTTTTAGTCCTCCCATCGGCTCTGAAATATGAGCCATGTCACTTCAACCCGGCAGCTAAATGGATCTTCCCATGAAGCTGCCCTGGTAGGACTGAGGCAAGTCCCAGAGTGTTGGGGCACCCAGGCTGTTCTTTAGAGATGGATACCGGGGCAGGGGGACTGAATGCAGAGGGTGGGAATCAGTCTCGGTGGAGCCAGGGTCCTAACGACCTTCAGATTTAGTGCTCTGAGTGTCTTTGTTTTGTTCCATTTTGTTCTCTAAGTTGCACTTTGTTTCCCAAAGTATGAAGAAAACATGAAATCCAGATGTTAGGACCATATGCCTAACCGGTGGGGACCTTGGGGGGCTCCGACAGGACGGAGGAGCCCCAAGGTGGGCTTGGGGTTTTGGAGGGTTAGACCAAGGGTCATTCTCCCCAACATGGCAAGAACAGGGCAGAGTCTCCTCTCCAGGGTGTGTGAGGGGTACCGACCTCACCGGCCCCTTTCCCACCTCCAGTGTTGAGAGGAAATGTTGCGGTGAGGCCTCCCATCAGGGCACGCAGTTATGGCAGCCCAAGCCCACAGCCACTGGCTCTCCCTAGGGTCCTACAGGAACATTTTCTAAGGATGCATCACGGAATCCATTCCAAACTGCTCACCTGCTTCCTCTCTGTGGGTCCCCAGCCAGGTGTGTGGTGAGAAGGGAGGGCAGGGAATTCACACACATCACCTGAATATGACAGGTGATGTCAATAGGGCACAGAATATGACACACAGTGAGCATTTGTCACAGACAAAGGACGTCAGTGGGGAGGAGTTTTGGCAAATACCACCCATAGAACCTTCCAGGGCTCAGTTTTAAGGCTCCTTAGCTTGGTTCTGAACCACATAAGACCAGGCGGTTGCTCATAGAACCTTCAGGGATGCCAAGGATCAAACTGGGGTTGCCCACAGAGCACCTCCCCCAAGGTCCAGGCTGGGGACGAGCTGAAGGGAAGTGCCCAGGGCTACCCAAAATAGGACAGGTCACAAGCTCAGCCCAAGGACAAGAAATCCCACTACCTTGTTGATTCCTGCATAGAGTCCAGAGTCAGCCCAGACCACACTCACACCCCACCCCTAAAGGCCATCATGTCCCTCCTAAGTCCCAAGAGGGGTAGAGGGGTCAGCACGTTCTCCTGTCTCCGTGAGTGCAGTCTGGGGGCTTTCGAAGATCCCTCTCCCGCAACAAACCCAGGAGCCCCCAAACCCAGCATGCTGCTTCTGGACACCTTGCCATCCTCAGAAGGGTGGGGAACGGCCACTCAGAAAATTCAGTGGCAAAATAAATAAAAAAAATTCAGTGGCATTGGGCAGAGATCCCGTTTTCCAAGACCAGTTTCCCTCCTAGCTACAGGCTGATCAGGGAAGCACCCCACCTGGAACCCTAAACCCAGCCGCACATCCCAGCAGACAACCACAGCCAGTCCAGCCCAGAGGGAAAGAGGCAGTTGAGGTACCCACACTGACACTCTCGGGTTCGGAAGAAGAAAGAATGTAGGTCGAGGCGCTGGGGATGAGGCCCGGGTTGGATCCCACCACACACAAAAACACACACACGCACATGCAAATGTGCGCGCGTGCGCACACACACGCACACAAATGTAGGTCAGACATGAAAGATGCTTCTCCCTTGGTGGCGGGGAGGGGTGAGGGAAAGGGGGTGTCTGTGATGCTGACATGTTTCGACAGAAGAGAATGGAAGGTGGGACATGCGGGTCCCACCACAGGTTCCCAGAAGATGCTCTGCAGAGAGGCGGTGCCGAGGCCACGGCCCTCAGCTTGCCAGCGCGCCATCCTCAGCCCTCGATGGGCAAGGCAGCTGGCAGGCGGGAGGCCTCTCCGGGTCTTGGTCGCTCATTTCTGGATGCTCCAGGGAGACCCAGCCCATTTCCAACTGGCGACCATGCTTGGCCATCTGGTCTGTGAGCTGAATCCCACGTCCCCAAACGGCCCGACCACATCGGTCCATGGGGTTCCCCAGCCCCTCTGCCAGGGGCCCAGGGCTCAGGGGTCCCCTTAGTGCCACCCCGCCCCTCAGCTTCTATCTGGCTGTTTCAGACCCAATGGGTGACAGGAAGGGCTCTGTGGGCCCCTCAAAGCAACAAGCAGCTGGCCCCCACGTGCACCTCAGGAAGACCCCTACCAAATGCACCTCGGGAATCAGACCCACCCACGTGCATCCCAAGAATCAGACCCACTCACATACACCCTGAGACTCAGACCCACCCCACGTGCACCCTGAGAATCAGACCCACCCCACATGCACTTCAAGAATCAAACCCACCTATGTGCACCCTGAGAATCTGACCCAAACCCACGTGCACCTTGAGAATCAGACCCACCCATGTGCACCCCAAGAATCAGACCCACCCCGCATGCACCCCAAGGATCAGACCCACCCCACATGCACCCCGAGAATCAGACCCACCCTACATGCACCCCGAGAAGCAGACCCCCACCCATGTGCACCCCGAGAAGCAGACCTGCAGGAGTGCCCTTTCCCCTCGGTGCCTGACCTTGTGCTCTGCAGAACAAGTCTCCATCTCAGATCTGCAGGCAGGCAAATTAACCTACCCCAGTCCCATTAGCGGGAAATTCCTCACCATTTCTGACACAGTGCTGACAAACAGCCCCCTCTAGTAACAGCTGCTGGTTTTAACATCGGCTTAAAACTGAAGTTTTACTACTGTCCTGCTTAGGGGGAAATGGCAAACATTTAGTTAAATACTATTCTTAAGGAAAATCTTACACTGTAGTTTAAATGGTCTTTTATATGCTTTAGTTATAAAACATAACTCAGACTTCTACAGGCTTTAAAACCACAGAAGTGGCTTCTACTTGGATTGTGTCTGTAACAGAGTTTAGTAAGTTGGACCAACTTTTAAAAACTTTAAAAATATGATTCAGAAACAAATCTCGAAACCCAATGACTTTTGGCAGAAATGCATCTGGACCCCACAGTAGGTTACTGTCGTCGGGCCACCCCAGGGGGGAAAGGGTGTTGTCCCTCCGCCTGCTCCCCCTAGGCGGCTCGGTGGGCACCATCCTCCAGAGGCCACTGGACAGTCAGGTTTGGGTCCTCAGTGACAAGACACGCAGGGCCTCGTGGGATGGGGGTGGAGCCGGCCCTTTCCTCCCCGTCCCCACGAGACCCCGAGTTGCCGCCCATGAACGGCCTTTCTGGCTCCTGATCAAGCTGCTTAACAGCCATGATCTCAGAGACTCAGGAGAAAATCTCGGAACCCAGCAGGTTTTGGCAGAAATCCCTCCAGATTTAAGTGTTAAAATTTCGGAATTTCAAAATCGTGCGGCCACTACTGCAGCAGCCATGTGACATCATATGTTATTCATAACCAGCAATAGAAAACAAATTGTCTACAGTTGCCTTTTCAGCAGATCTGAGTGTTAGGGTAAAATCTCAAATAATAATGGTGGGTCTGGTGTCAAAGTATTGAATGTGATCAAAGTAGAGAGAGAGTAATGTGGAAATCATCTGCCCCACAGGTAGGGGGAGGGTGTGGGATGGGGGTATACTGGGGTTGTTGGGGATGGAGAATGGGCACTGGTGAAGGTACAGGTGTTTCACTGTATGACTGAGACTTAGACCCGAAAGCTTTGTAACTGCTCTCACGGTGATTCAATAAATAAAATGATAAAAAATGAAAAAAAACTTTAAAAATAGCTTTAAAAAAGCAATGTATACATATTAAATGAAAGAAGAAGCAGTTATGCTAACTTTGAAAAGACAATTGACACCACTATCCTTTATTGGGTAAATACAAAGTATAGGCTCTTTATTCTTTTTTAAGCAAAGCCAAAGAGATCAGAAACCATGTACATGTATTTTTTTTCAGAAACATAAATTAGTTTTAACTAACAGGCACTTAAAATGTAAGTGTAAAACAGCATTTTAAAGTACAAACTATTGTGACACTCCCAAATTCCTCCTGAAATGTTTTTACAAACAGAGATGCACAAGCGCAGAAACAATTATGAACAAAGATTGTTTCCTCTTTAAAAACAAGAAAACAAAACAGCTTGAATTTAAAGCCGGAACGGCAGACCAATGATTAAGGTTCTGGTGGAGAGAATAGTTTCCGAAATGTACAAATATTTGATCAAAACATAAGCATTTAATAAAACGATTACCATAGGACATAGTATACATCATAATGAAAAATATATGCCAGGAAAAGAATGAATTCTTGACTCAAAATTTACTTTACAACAAGGCACTTAACACATTCAAACAGTAGAGTAAGTTTCTGAAAGAATGCAGTCGGCTCCCTCTGAAACTGTAATGCTATTTCTTTTGTGATTATCCTGTAACATAATTGTATATTTGACATTTTGCAGCATTATTCATTGCATAGGAGGTAAATAAAATAATAAATTTCAACTTGGCAACTGGATTAGCTTATGTTTATAGGTTCTCTTCTTTTAGAGACAATTTAAAATAATTCCACAACTAAACCATCTTCTTTCATGATTCAACTAGAACATATTACAGTTTGATTAATGGGTAATAAAATAAATCAGGGCTTAGGTGGTCTTTCTTAATATAAAAATGTAACTTTGGGTACTTTTGACATGGATTTTCAGTGTGTCAAGAGCACGTCTTAACAAAATGTTTTAGCAATTAAGTCAAAAGAAGTTAAATTAGAGTAGCACAATGACATTAAAAAAATACAAGAAACCTTTTTATGTACAAAAAAGAAGAGCCTCCAACACATGGAAGAGTCTTTTGTCGATTTGATTAAAACTTGTAAACGCATTTACTCTTTCTCACACTTAGACTACAGAAGAAACAAGCATATTAAGACTGGTTTAAATTTTTCATAAATTTTACAGTGCAAAATAAAAACGACGACAAAAAGTGTTTAAATAAAATGTTCCAAAGAGTCAAAGTACAAGATACGAATTTTCAATTAAAAAAAAAAAACAACTGCACGACTTCCAACATGTGCAAAACCCATCACAAGAAGGACGCTTGGTGTTTCAAAGTAAACAAAGTGTAGGTAGTTATAAAGGGAGACATTAACGATCGTGAGAATCAGAGGTAAAAATGGCTGTTTTCTTTTTTTCCATTAAATGGATGAAAGATTAGAATTGCAACTCCCTGTGATCTAAACCCTTTGAGAAGGGTTTCATATGCCTTTAAAATAATTTCTTTTACCAAAAATAAAAATAATAAAATAATTTATTTTGCACAAAGCTTTTAGATTACTGGTAAAAACAATACAAAACAAATGCTTTAAAAAAAAAAAAAACCCTTGATGCTTTAAAAAGTGGCAAGTCATATAACACCTTTCCACAAGGGGGCACTAGTGTCCAGCAAAGAACCATCTTCTGTGCAAACCGGGGTGAACCGGCAAAGGCCAGACTCCATTTCTCAGAGACCAGGAAAGGAACAAAAGCTCAAAACCACTTTGGGTGGTCCTTGGGGTGGGGTGTGGGATTGGGGGGGGGGGAGTGCTTTATTTTCAGAGCTGGGGAGAAGAAGTTCCTAAAATAGAATCTCAGGGGAATTTCTTTCCATTTGAAAGAATCTCGAAAACAATGTAGCCTCATTAGAGTAAAATGTTGTCTGTATGGCACAGAAGGCTCGGTAGGTGGGTCGCAGGAAGACCCTCTGGCTGCAGGACCACCCAAAGTGCGGAAATCAGGGCTGGGGGGGGGGGGCTTCAGGGAATGAGCAAGGAGAGGCAGCTCCCAAGAGGGAAACTGAGGAATCGCAGCTCCCTTCAGGGTTGCTGTCCTACAGGGAGCTTGATTTCACTTTTCCCTCTTACTTTAGCGTCTGGAAATGTGGATGGGTCCTTCACACCACAGACTTCCTTAGCACCCCAGGGCTCTGTGACCAGCGGTGGACAGAAGCTGGGACTCAGGTGTCCCTCACGGATGTTTTTAAAGTTCTTTGGAAGGTGATGGCATCCCCCTCCTTTTAGAAAGGAAAAACAAAACTGGATTCTTAACTAAAATGACAAGTTTCCTGTTTTCAAGGATCTCCCATGAGCAACACACGAAGACATTTTCAAAGCTTAAATACTTTTCCTTCTCTAACGGAAGGGAAAGTGGGTTTCCAGAGACAAAGCTAAGATGCTAAGGCATGTCGGGCTGTTTTGCCTGAATGAGAGGCTCCAGGAGTTAGACAGAGCCAGGAGAACACGGCCCAGGCCCCTCCCAGCCAGAGAGCAGGATGTCGGTGTTAAGCAAATCCCTGGTTCCATCACAAAAGTCAATATCAGTAAGAAAAGTCAGTGAAAACGGTATAGAAACGGCTGATCGGTAGATATACTTCCTGTTGGTTCACGTCATCATAAATACTAGACAAACTTCCTACTCTGTGGACCCTGCCAAGGCCGTCTTGATTCTTGTTTGAAATAACCAGATCAGAGAGCTTCTTCCTGCCTTTGAATCCTGCTCGCTTTCCTGCAGGGATTCTCTAAGTGGGAGCCGGGGCTGGCTTGAAAACACAGAATTCTTAGCACCAAAGGGCTGTGAGTCTCTGAAGAGATCTGTATTGTGCTTACAAATTAAAGGTCAATCTGGTGTGCGACAAGCGTCGGATGACACATTTAGGCTGATTTCTCACTCAAAGCAGAGGCGGTGTTCAGCTTCAGCAGCTTCCGAACTACCTCGCTACAGGGGCCGCGCTTCCTGCTGACGCAGCTTTGGCTGCTCTGGCAACCTGAAATCTGGGAGGTGATCAGAAATCTTATACTAAGCCCAAAATCACCCCAGAGATTCAACTGTATCAAACCAAAAAGTAGCTACGACAGCGTGAGCTACGACTGGATTTTGCGAATCCACCTTGGGTGGGGGGGAGGGGGGTTTGGGGGGATGTATCACCTGAAAGAACTTTAGAAACGCCTCTTCCCTCTTCCCGAGCTGCCACTCACTGTCTGCCATAATTTTCCCGCTTACATGAGCATGGGGTGGATGCTGGGGGCTGAAGGGAAACAATCTCGTTTGTATGCCCCGAGACCCCCATGGGACCCCGCCAGTGGGAATCTCAGGTCCCTTCTGCAGGGACCAGGAAGAAGCCACCCAGGGCTGTAACCAGCTGTCCTGCCGAGAGTCCCATCAGCAGGGAACCAGGGCACACCCCGGGGTCACCCCAGCAGCCTGCCAGCCCGTGCCCCCAAGTCTGGGCCTCAGTGTCTGCACCCGCAGGCCACCAGCACATTCCCTACCCCCCCAACACACACAGTGGGGGGCCCACTTGTGGGCACACCAGGCGCCGTCCTGCAGTAACAGCCTTGCCCGTGTTCCCTCCAGCTGTGGCCGGGAACGATTCCCACGTAGGTGTAGCTGTTGGACGCTCCCCAGCTCACAGACGTGACCTTCCGCTGTCTCGACCAAATCACCATCGGAGACAACAGCAACCCAGAGTGATGGGGGGTGCAAAGGGGGGGAGCAGCAGCCAGACAGGGTGGGGTCAAGTGTGCCCTCCCCACCCCCGACACTCCCCTCTGTGGGGGCGTCCTCCTCCGACACGCCTGGGCTCACCCTCTCTCAGCAACAGGGCGTCCCGCGGAGGTCGTCGGAGACACAGGCAGGGAATTTATTGAAAACATTAACAATTTCTTCTGACCTCACAGGGAGACAAGTCGGAAGGCGAGTGAGCCTGGTGGCGGGGGCTGCGGGGAGGGGCTGGTTCTTTGGCATCTGGAACAAACTCTCAGCTAACGTCCCCGTGGTGGCGGGCTTGTCATCAGGAACAAAGGCTTCGGGAGAATCTTCCTCTGGATGAATGCGAAACCCAAACCCAAACAGCCAAAGGGTAATACTTCATCTTTCTAATCCTTTATATAAAATTTGGTCCACTTCTTCATTTTCCATCAGTTCTCTGAAAATTTACAAAACTATACCTTTGGTGACAGCAGCAGCTCTTCGGGTCTAAGAGCCGCTGCCTTGGTCTCGCCCCTCAGGTAGACTTCTCGTTGTCTTCGCCGATCTTCTGGACCCGGGAATACTTTTTGCAGGAGGATTTAAAGCAGCCGGGCGGCCAGGACAGCGGCCAGGAGAAGCAGCAAGGAATGGAGCCTTGGACGTTCTTCTCAAAGAAGTAAAAGACGGGGAACCACCAGGCTCGAGATAGAAAGTTAGTCTGTGAGGAGACCTTCAAGTTCTGGAGTGGGGAGGAAAAGAGGACAGTGAGACACAGCTTGCCAGGCCCGAGCCCCACTATTTCCCTACTAAGTTCAGCCGCCATTTGCAGCCACTGCCAGGGGATGCAACGGAGCCTGGGACACGGGCAGAAACGAGCTTCATGCCTTTGTCCAAATGCGGGGAGGGGAGGAGTGAAGCCCTCTGGCCACTGCCTCCCCTGGGATGGAGGAGGGAGGCGGAGTCACTGTGGGCAGTAGGGAGGGCGTCCTGGGTGTGATCCCCCAGGAGCAGGGATGAAGGAGGGAGGGGAGTCACTACGGGAGGTAGGGAGGGCATCCTGGGTGTGGAGAGGAGCACTTTGATTCCATGGCACCTGTGGGTATCAGATAGAGTGCGCGGAGGAGCACGGAGACAGGAGACCAACGCTGGCCTATGGCCACAGAGACTAAGTGACCAGGGACAGCCTTGGGATGGCTGTCCATCTACTATCCCAACACTGGATGCCTCCCGGGAGAAGGCAGCCATGGCGCTGGTGCCATAGTACAGTGGGTAGGGTGTTTGCCTTGCATGCGGCCAACCTGGGTTTGATTCCTGGCTTCCCATACAGCCCCCTAAGCACTGCCAGGAGTAATTCCTGAGCACTAAGCCAGGAGTCAGCCCTGCGTATCCTTGGGCATGGTCCCCAAATAAACAACAACAAAGCCAGTCCCGGCTCACAGACTGACCTCAGCAGGTCCTTTGGGGACAAGTGGCCGGAAAAGCAAATGGAGCTGCAGCCCTTTGGGAATGAGTGAGGGGCAGGAAAAAAGGTCTCCTGGAATGAGGGAGGACATGCAGGGACCTCAGGGCTCAGGGCTGCCAGGGGAGGCTGGAGTCCCCCCGACAGCGCAGCACGGGCGCCGCCTTCCCTGCCTCACAGCCTGACAGAAGCTTCTAGAGTCTCCCCAGGCTCAGCCCCTGCACATCTCGTGCCTGGACAAGCTGCTCAGACCCCACCTCTCCTGCCGAGGCACGCTTGTCCCTCACGCCCCTCACTGCTGAGGTGGGCTTGGTTGGAAGGAGCGGGGGGGCGTGGGCGAAACAGCCCGGTGCGTGTTTGTGGGGGACAGAAAGCCCCTCGGAGGGCAGAGAAGGGTCAGCCTCCCCACCCCCACTCGCCTTCTCGTTGGCCATGGCATGGTAGCACCAGAAGAGCCGCGTGGTGATGTAGTAGGCCACGATGACATCCACGGTGTAATGCTCGTGCGCCACCAGGATGCAGATGATGCCCGCGGCGCTCAGCAGCCAACATACCAGGTGGTACCACCAGAAGTGGCGGGGCGAGTCTGCAGGGAGGGGAGGGGGCGTTACTGAGGGCAGAGACGAGGGCCTCAGGGAGCCCCAGGCCAGGAGGTCACAGAGAAGGAAACTGATGGCACCCCCAAAAGATGGGGAAAGGTTCCTGGGCAGGCCGGCAGCATCTCCGTGGAGGCTGCTCAGACCCTGACCACTTGGGGTGAGACACAGCTCCCAGGCAGAGGGGGGCTGAGGGGACAAGCAGGAAGGAGCAGGGCCATAAGCGGGATTTTGGGCCTCAAAGGACAATCCTGCCCTCCCCCGGAGGCCCCTGTCACCGTGGCTGACACTGTCCTCCACCATCTTCCTCTTTAGGCTGGCATGCCCCCCCTCCGGGGCGCTTGGCCCTGCTCCTACAGGCATGCAGTATGAGGATGGGGCGGGAGGGGCTGAGTAGGGGACACCCATGGACTCCCTCTCGCATCCCCTCTGTACATGCAGGGTGGCTCTCCTGGGGGCATCTCACTGTAGATCCCAGACTACAGTGCTCAGGCCAGATTAATCTTTCCTAACCCTAGCAGGGTCCTAACCTAGTTGTTACTTTTTGGATCATGACAGCATTTGTCCATGACCATGCTGTTAACTTATCGTTAAGTATTGTGGTGCTTCGGCCAGGCCCTTTTCGATGCCAGGGTAGCTCACAGCATGCCCTGGGTCCATCCAGTTCCTCATCAGGACTCTGCTTTTGGGGTGCTAGGAATTAAGGGCAACTGAGGCTTCAGTCTAGAAAACAGATGCCCAGGGGTGAATATCATTCGGAGTCAGTTAACTCCCAAGTTGCAAAAGCACGGCATTAACTGTCTACCTGTGTCTGTACAAAAAGGACATTGCTCTGAAGTAACTGTGCAAAGGACATAAGGAGAAGAGAAAAGCAATGTTTACATTACAAGTTAACAGAGTCTGATTAGGAGATAAAGGCAATTGACCTGTTGGGGAAGCAGAGCACAAAGAAAGAGGTTACAATAAACACAGAGGAATGGGAGTGCCTTGGGAGCACTGTGATGGGAGTAACCCAATAAACCTAAGCTCCTGTGGCAAGGCAGAAAGGACAAACCAATGTTATCCTACACCCAGATGCACAAGAGCCCCAGTTCCCACTCCCTGGGAAGTCTCCTGCTCACTGAGGGGATAACAGTCTGCCCATGCCAGACCAGGCACGGAGCAGACGAGGGCATTTGCAGAACTTCAGGTAAGATCAGCATCACTCAGACATAATTATTTTTTTCTGTTGACAGAGCTGTTGCTCATTTGAAAGTGCCAAGTGTTAACATAAAACGATAAACCCGTATTTGCTTTTGAAGACTTATTTTCTGATTTTTATTTTATTGCGTTTTTCTTCTTCTTTTTTTTCCTTTTGAGCCCTATCCAGTGATGCTCAGGAGTTACTCCTGGCTCTGCACTCAGGAATCACTCCTGGTGGAGTTCGGGGATTCTGCGGATTGAACCCAGGTGGGCTGCATGCGAGGCAAGCGCCCTGCCTGCTGCTTTTCTCCAAACCCTGATTTTCTGGTTTTGAAGGTGGCACTGATGGTTTCTCGTCCTGCCCTCCTGGATTCCTACAGCGTTAAAGGCCCTGGAGGCCTGACGCATGGGTGGGGCTGGGCTGGGGGTGCAGCGCCCCAGCTGCTCTGTGAGGCTCAGTGTGGGTCCGGCTGAACTCATGGGACCAGTGACTGAGATGTACACGGTCCTGACACGGTGTGGCTTCTGAGCACTGCAGGAGCAGCCCTGGCACCCCAGACTGTGGGCGAGCACCCCTCCCCCCAAACCCAGCACCAGAACTAATGCACCAGAACCCGAATCCGGCTCCCCACCCACGTCCCCCACCTGCCTCCCTCCCATGGCTTCGCGAAGCTTTCTCCTTTCCAGGTGTTTTTTTGTTTGGTGTTAGTGGGGGGGCCTCACATCCGGCAGTGCTCCAAGCTTCCTCCCAGCTCTGTGCTCAGGGATCACTCCTGCTGGGTTGGCAGGACTGTAGGGGGTGCTGGGGATCAACCCAGGTCAGCTGCGTGCAGAGCAAGCGTCCTCCCTGTCGTGGTACTGTCTGGCCCCTTTCTAGGTGTTGGGCCACAGCAGCGGCAATGGCGATGGTGGCAGCCTTGTGCCCGGGGCTGTTCCTGGTGCCACTCAGGCTGGGCGGTGCCTCGCACCCTCAGCTGCAGCCCAGAGCCCCAGTGCCCCTGCAGTTGGAACCTTAAGCGCCCCAATGTTTGGTCTGGCCGTAACCCTTTGGCTGTTGCTCAGCCCCAAAAGCAACACGAAGTGGACCTGGAGAAGGAGGCCTACAGTGTCCCCCCATGAGGTGTTGAGCTGAGTGAAATGAGGCTTGGGGGGGGGGGACTGAGAGCCCCCAGGCACTCCCAGGAAGCCGCCATGCAAGGCCCTGCCCTGACACTCGTTGGCCCTGGAAAGCAGTGGCTGAAGCCTGCCCCGAGATGGAAGAACAGAGGCCGGCGACCTAGCTCTGGTCATTGCGGCCTCTCTGGAACCGGGTCGGCTCCTGTGAGTGGGTCAGCTCACACCCTCGCGACTGCACTGTTGGAGAGTGACACCGAGTGACACCACGGGCGGGCCCCGTGAGGCAGCAAGCCGAGAAGGTTTGCTCGATCCCCAGGAGAACATGCTGTGGCTAGGCTTTCTGAGATCGTTCTGGAAGGGATGGGGGCCCCAGGGAAGATAATTTACAGCCCTGGCAAAGTTCTCTCATTAATCAGCAACCAAAGCAGCATCGTCTCCGGACCAGTATCAACAACAGAGGAGGAAGAAGGCAGGAAAGAACCGACTGAAACCCCGGCATGAACAGCCTGTAACTGTGTGTCTCATTATAAGTCAATAAAAAATTTTAAAAAAAAAAGGCAGGAAAAAAGCCCAGACACAGACGCAGGAGCAGCAGCCCAGCAGGGAGGGCCCTTGCTGGGCGGGTGCATGACTGACCCGGGTTCAATCCCAGCACTGGGTGCCCAGAGCACTGCCAGGGTTGGAATTCCTGAGTGCAGAGTCAGAAGTAACCCCTGAGCATTGCTGGGTGTGGCCCATAAAATGAAAGAGAGACAGAGACATAGACAGAGATAGAGACAGAGATAGAGAGAGAGGGAGGGAGAGAGAGAGAGACAGAGATGGAAACAGAGAGAGGGAGAGGGAGAGGGAGGGGGCAGAGAGTATTAAAACCAGGCAAGCAGGGCTGGAGCAATAGCACAGTGGGTAGGGTGTTTGCCTTGCACGCGGCCAACCCGGGTTTGATCCCCAGCATCCCGTATGGTCCCTTGAGGACTGCTGGGGGTAATTCCTGAGTGCAAAGCCAGGAGTAACCCCTGTGCATCACCAGGTGTGACCCAAAAAGCAAATAAAATAAAATAAAATAAAGCAAGCAGGCAGATACGGCACAGCAGTGCAGAGCCTGGTGCTGGACCAGGCCCGGGCCCGCCCCCTCAGCAGGTAGCAAGTGGCAGGTGTGAGTGTGTGTGTGTGTGGGGGGGGTGGATTTGGACCCCTGCGGAAGCAGCATCCACACACGTGAAGAGCAGTGCAGGGCAGCAGGGGCTGCCAAGGGTCACTAACTGGCCACGTCCTTCCTCACCCTCCCTCCTGTGAGTCAGACAGTGCCCCCACAGCCCCGTCACAGATCTCTGGGGACTCAGAGAGGGACGTGGCCAGGTCACTCCGCCTCAGTTCCCCCTGGGAGCGGCCCTCGTGGGTGGGTGTGGGAGTTAGGGGAGTTGTTCCGTATCTAGGGCGTAGGCTGGTACCTGGCCCGGGGTGAGTTGTCCAGCTCTTATTATTCTAAATGTTCTTTGATTATTTATTCTCGTTGGACCTCCCAAGTGGTGCTCGGGGGCACAGAGGTCACTCCTGCAATATGTGGGCGGATACAGCGGTTGGGTAACTGGGGCGAGGAGATACGGGGGGACCCTGGCAGTGCTCGGGCTACAACCAGAAGTGGGCTGGTGGGCGGGCCTCGTGGTGCTGGCAGCTTGGTTCCACGGCAGACAAAACTTGATCCCCAGCCTAAGCACTGAGTTTTCCCTATGTCTGCTCTTCCTACCCTCCTCTCCCTCCTCCTTCCCTCCCTCTCCCTCCTCCTCCTTTTTATACACACTTGTCTTGATGGGGTTTCAGTCACACAAAGTCCCAACACTGTCCCTTTGCCAGTGTAGCTTCCCACACCAACGCCCCCAGTTTCCTCCCCGCCCTGCCCAGCCTGCGTCTCCGGCAGACACTTTCCTCTCTGACTCTCTCAGTCTCCGCTACTACTCTTAGTCGAACTTGGCTTTCGCTTGCTTAGAGTACTGATTCCATTTCCTTGGGGCAGGGCATTTTCTCTGTGCTTTTTGGCAACCCCCCTTGGGCGTACTCTAACAATGCCTACCCCCGCTGCCCCAGTCTCATCTTCTATAAGCTTTCCAGGAATCCCAGCTCAGAGAGGAGGCCCTCACGTCCACCTGCAACTCCGGATTGGAAAATGATCTAACTGAAGAGATAGCGTGGGGTAAGGCTCAGGCCTTGCATGCTGCTGACCCCAGTCTGATCCCTGGCACCCCACCGGGGGTCCCCCAAGCACCTCCAGACACGACCCTTGGGCAATGCTGGGTGTGGTTCCAAAGCAAAAAAAGCAAAAGAAAATAATCTTAAATCTCAGCTGAGACTTTCTCAGTGAAGTGATAGTTAGGGCCACAGATGCAACCAGGGATTGCCGCCGGGCAGGGTCGATAACCAGGAATTGGGGACAAGAGCCATCCTGAACCCGAGCTGCGAGGGGGACCCAGTCTTGGAGTCAGGGGTGTGGCCATGAGCTGCTACTCACATTCTTTGATGAATAGGTAGGTCAGGGTCAGCACGACCGTGTGGCCACTGAAGAGGAAGTCACCACACAGGATATGCGAGCCGGTGATGGACAGGCCCCCGCCGGAGATCAGCCGCAGGACCCGCTGAACCTTGGCCTGGGAGTCCCCGTTGAGCTGCAGAGACGAGGGGGAACAGTCACTAACACACGTTCATGTGCTGCCTCAGTGGGGTCTCTCTGCCGCCTCCTGCAAGAGGTCACAGACTGGGCGGGCAGCGTTGGGCAGCATCTCCCACTGGAATTAATTCAATGTGGCAAGATTCAGACATTCTTAAGGGACTGCTTGAGTAACACTTTTTAAATGATTCAGTTTGTCGTTTTTATTCTGCATTTAAGGAGTTTTTTTTGGGGGGAGGGAGGGCTGGAGCCATAGCACAGTGGGGAGGGCATTTGCCTTGCACGTGGCCAACCCGGGTTCGATTCCCAGCATCCCATGTAGTCCCCCATGCACTGCCAGGAGTAATTCCTGAGTGCGTGAGCCAGGAGTAACCCCTGTGCATGGCTGGGTGTGACACAAAAAATTAATAAAGATATTTTTACAGAGCTAGGGATCAAGCTCAGGGTTGGTTCTTCCTCTCTGTGGGGGAGTGAAGGTCTGGGATGGTTAATATTGGACTCGGCCCTGTACGGGATGTCCAGGAGTGAACAGCATATACATGCCGTGTTCAAGTAGTTCATTTGGTCATATTAGTATCCAATCAAAGCACTTACAGTAATCAAACAGAAACTAAATTTACAGCATCGAGAATGTAGGACAGGTTTGGAAGGAAAATCATCATTAAAAGATGGGCTGCAACATGAATAATTAAAGTAATTTGAAAGTGGTTTTGTGATGTACTAGTAGCCTTGAAAATGACTAATCCTGGGACAGATAGTGCAGGGGGTGAAGGGGGCCAACCCCGCTTTGATCCCTTAGTACCCTGTGGTCCCCGGAGTGCCAATAGCAGTGATCCCTGAGCACAGAGTTGGGAGTAAGCCCTGAGCACCATTAGGTGAGACACCCCCTAAATAAAGGCCCCAAATTAGTGTCTCTGGACCAGGGACCCAGCTAGCTTAACATAAGATACCATGGGACAGGGTTAAGAGCAGACAAGGCCATTTCCAAGGAACCATCTTCCAAAGTTTATTTCAGGGCAGCCCAGTCACAAACCCTGGAGTGTGAGCAGAGCTGGAAGTCAGACCTGGGAGTGTCCGGGCAGACTGTGGGAGACAGGACGAACGGGCACCCACAAGAGGGCTGTGCTGAGCTGTAGGGCTGCTGGGGGCACCCGGACAGGCCTCCCCAACCCCCACGCAGGTCCTTCTGCTCTGCACCTCCCCAGCCACTGTGCTCCAGAATCCTAAGGAAACATGCTTCCTTCGGGGGATTCTGATGCTTCAGAGTGACTTTTCTTCTCGTTTTTTTTTTTGGGGGGGGGGGAGGGTAATGCCTGGCAGGTTCAGAGCTTATTCTTGGCCCCGCACTCAGGAATGACTCTTGCCAGGTTTAGGGGCCATCTGGGATATCCGGGATGAAGGCTGGGTCAGTTGCAGGCAAGGCCGTGCCCACCCTGTGGTGCTTTCGCTCTGGCCCCTCGAGATGACTCCTCACACACACACCCGCCCCAACTCAAGTCTTCAGTCTCTAAACACTCAGTGTCATCGTCTGTCTCTTAAATTGGGCTTCCCGGCTCAGCAGGGAAGGCACTTGCCGTGCATGTAGCTGACCCCAGTTTGACCCCGCCACAGCCTATGGTCCCCGGCGCCCCACCCAGGGGTGAATCTGAGTTAGAGCCAGGAGAGTGCCACTGATGAGAGAAAGGAAAAGGCAAAGAGGCGACCGTCGCTCCAGGATGGCTCACTGGCCAAGAGCCATGCGGGAGGAAGCCAAGATGAGGAGATCTTATCCCCCCCAGATCCCAACATACACACACACTCACACTCACACATACTCATGCACATACTCGCGCACTCACACACACATATATTCACACACACACACACGCAAACCCATACACACACTCACACCCCCACACACATATACCCTCACTCACACAGTCACACACAGTCACACACATTTACACACACTCACACACACACACTGTACTGAGTCAGGAAGTGATCTCACAGTCACAAGGACAGGAAACTCCTCTCTCACATGGAGCCACAAGTCACCATGCTGGTGTCAGGACCATATTTCAGTCAATCCTGCCCCCAGTCCCGGCCACCAAGCCTCTCCCAGCGCCACGTGCTCAGGACAACAGACCACTCCAGGGTCTGGCCGGGCCTTGCCCAGTATTTGTAGCTTGGTTATCTAACCGTCCACTCAGTGATGTGGTCTCCCCAAATTGCAGCCCTTCCTGGGAGGAGACGAGACCGTCTGTCAGGAAACCACAGTAATTCACCCCTGCAGCCTCGTCTGTGCCCGGAATGGGCCTACCTTCTCATCTGTGACCATTCCTTCCTCCAGCATGCAGCAATGACCCCTTGCAAGCATTCATTATGCTTCAGAACATCGCCTGTGCCTTAAATTAGCTCCACTGAAAATCAGTCCACATTTCAGTTCAATGTGTACAGTTGAATTACAGACACTGTCTGCTTTGATGGCTCTGGAAAATCACAGTTCTCTGGCCCAAACCTTGAAGAAGCAGGAGGACGTGTCTGCAGATTGCACTAATTTCCCACCTACCTTGGGACAGTGCTGGGACCACCACGGGGGACGGGGCTCTCCCGTCCCAACAGACAGACTGTGCTCCCTTCTTCCCCGCCGACACTCTGGGGCACTCAGGGTCTGAGAGGGAGGGGCAGCTCTGAGGAAAGACTGGTTGGAACTCCAACCCTGCTGGGCCAGTTCCAGCATCTGCCTCACCCCTGTGCCTCAGAACGGCCCTTGCTCTTTCCTACCACTGAAAACAGGGGGATCGTCCTTGAATTTCCTGCTCTGGAGCCATTTCCAACTTAAGGATACGTCCTGTTGGCCACACCTTCAAAGCGGGCCCTGAGCTGGACAAGTGCCCGAGCTTAAGTCCCTGGCACAGGGCACAGAGACAGCGTGGGGTGTGTGGTCCCCCTCAGCCCTCCCTATCTGGGCAGCCGCAGTGGCCACCAGCCTCTCCCTGAACCCCAGCAAAGCTGCTTGGTAGTGGAGAGCTCTGCCATCCACCTGGCTCCCTCCTGGCCTCACTTCGGTTCCTGTCCAAGAGTTTTCACATTAGCAATGTGGCCCCTGGGATCGGCCCCTGGCACAATAAGAGGAATGATGAAGTCGGTGCAGGGCTGAGGGCAGGCGCCAGGTGCATCCCTGTTCCATGGGATCCCTGAGCACTGCTGGGTGTTCCCTCAAGGTCCCCGACCACCACTGGGGTGGCACAGGAAGCTCCAACTGCAGGTCTGAGCAGGCCGTATCCTTCGGCTCTTGCATTGAGTGGCCATCAGGTGGGTCAAGCGCCACTGGGTGGGGCCCTGGGGCATCCTGGGTACTATCTGGGAGCCTCCCCGAAATACTGAAGACATTTTCTCTGACTGACTAGGAAGCAGAGCCTACCCTCACAGCCCCTTCAGCCTCACTCAGCCTTCCTGTCTCCATCTGACTCACCACCATGAGACACAGGATCACAAACTCATCTCTTGTGAGCCCCCCACAGGAGAGGAGGGGGGGATGGAGGAGAAGGAAGAGGAAGACGAGGAGGACGAGGAGGAGGAGGAGGAGAAGGAGGAGAAGGAGGAGGAGGAAGAGGAGGAAGAGGAGGAGGAGGGGGAGGGGAGGGGGGAGGAGGGAGGGGGAAGAGGAAAAGGAGGAGGAGGGGGAGGAGGAAGAGGAGGGTGGCAGCTGGATCATTTCACCACCACAGCACTTCCTGTAAGCATAGAGAATTTGGCATGAACAGGCAAATGGGAAGGTGAAAAAGCAACATGTCAGGTACCCAATTGGACCTCGAGTGACTCAGTTTTTCATGCAGTGAAGTACATTTTATGAACAGACGTGAATTTCCACCCATACATTTACCAAGAAACAAGAGGCACGTGGGTCTCAGCTGGCTGGCTGTGAGTGGGCTGGACGGCGGACAGCGAGTGGGGACCCTGGCACTTACCTTCGGTGCACACTGGAAGTGGTTGCCAGGCACGGGAAGCGTGGTGACGTACATGGTGATGCAGCGGTACAGGTACAGAGTCCCGATGATGAAGAAGAATCTGCGTCCCACTATGGACCTAAAGCACAAGCAAGCGGGCAGGGGAGAAACAAGTCAAGCAGGAGTGTTTGTTTCTTCTTGGGGGAAGGGGCACAGCGGAAGTGCTCAGAGGGTCACTCCTGGTAGTGCCGGGTACCGAACCAGAACCCCGGGGCTGGCCCCGTGCAAGGCTAGTGCCTTTATCCCTGGACTCAGGCTCCGGCGCTGAGTTTGTGTGTCAGTGAGGGTACAGTGGCGAAGAGCTGAGGCCCAGAAGGGCGGACAGGAGCTGCTCCTCTACACTGAGGGTCCCACAGCTCCCCAGGGAGGCCGCCACCCTCCAGACAGCAAGGCAGGGGCCCAAAGGAGAGCGAGCCGGGGCCCTTGGGACAGAGCTGGGAGAAGAGGCAGTGGGTCCCCCCCCTCCCCAGGGGCCCTTCCCCAGGGGCCAAGCTAATGAGCCAGGGAGAGGGGACATAATGGGGCCCGCGGGGAGATGCACATGGTGTTCACAGCCTGCCTATGCCCACAGAATGGGCTTTGAAGATGCCCAGATGCCCCTTGTGCATTTAAGGGCATTTAGTCACAAAGCTGTAAATTAATCGACACTTATTTTATTTGATCTTGATTCGAAGGAGCTCCTCACTCCCCCACCAAAAATTCCCCCAACTCTTTCTTCACTTGACTTTCTGGTGGACTAGTTGTCTGGTTTTTGTCGTTATTGTTTTTTTTTTGGTTTGTTTTTGTTGTTGTTGTTATTGTTGGGTTTGGGCTACACCTGGTGATTCTCAGGGGTTACTCCTGGCTCTGAATTTAAGAATCACTCCTGGCAGTGATTGGGGGGGGGGGCTCTATGGGATGCCGGGGATCGAACTCGGGTCAGCAGTGTGCATGGCCTGCACCCTCCCCGCAGTTCTACGCTCTGGCATTTGTTCCTGGGCTTCTGCCCCATTGTCCTTCACTGGAGGCGGCGTTTCTAGGGGGCAACTCTGCACCCCTGTCCTCTGCCTGCTGGTGGGGCACCAAGACCTCAGGGTCCCCTTCCCTCTGGCAACAAAGTATCCTTTACCTCTGAGAATTAAGACAGTGGGTCTAAGATTCTAGGATGGAGCCATGGGGGTCCAGAACAGCCTAGTTACTGGTGGCAACTTCTTTAGTATGTAAATAGGCTCCTATTTCCCGAGCACTCACGGGAAAACGGGCAGTTTCGTGCATGTGACAGACTTCAGTGACTCGAGACTGGGGGGTTCTGGCATGAATTAAGGTCTTATCCCGAAAAAGACGAAACTGATGATCGAAAGGATTATGTACAAATGTACCTTTGGCTGCCTGTCTCCAGTAGCTAGTTTTTTTTTTCTTGCTTTTTGGGTCTCACTTGGGTCTCAGGGGTTACTCCTGGCTCATGCACTCAGGAATTACTCCTGACAGTGCTCGGGGGACCATATGGGATGCTGGGAATTGAACCCGGGTCGGCTGCGTGCAAGGCAAATTGCCCTACCTGCTGTGCTATTGCTCCAGCCCTCTCTAGTAGCTATTTTAGGAATATTCTTAAGTTTCTTGGGGTGGAAATATGGATGGGGCAGGCACTTCTTTGCCATCGAGCATTTCCTCCATGGCCATGTGATTCCAGCTCTGTCCTCCCCAGGCTGAACCCAGGCCAGCAGCAGCGCTAAGCCTCTCCTCTTAGTTCTCTGAGAAATGATTCGACTCCTGAGCCGTCTCAGATTAATACAGCACTATGTGATGCTCCACCCGTCAGAACTGAGGAAGAAGCAGGAGTTACCCAGCTCTACTCCCTGAGCGTTCGGAACTCAGCTCCATTCAGAGAAGCAGCAGAAGGTATAAGATCCCCGCCACAGTCTTATGTAGAGAGAGAACTGCTAATGATTCCCCCTGGAGTGCCTGTGCTTTTTATTTTTCCTTTATTATTATTTTTTAAATTAACAAAAGTCACACCCAGAAGTGCCCAAAGGTGAAGATCAAACTGAAAATTGGGTTCAGAACATGCCGGCCTATGTTCCACTTCTTGGAGCCATAGCCCTGTCCCTTCATTACAGCTCTTTGTAGGTGCTTGAGAGAGAGAGAAACAGAGAGAGATGTGACAGAAAAGGGAAAGAGAGGGAGAGAAAAAGGAAAAACAGAGGCAAAGAGAGAGAAAGGAAAGAAGGGAGGAAGGGAGAGAAAAGTGAGCAGAATTTCTCATGCAGCTGAGATGTTTGAACAAAGTTATGAAAATTACTCCAAAAAATAATTCCACAAGTTATAAAAATGTAACATCCAACACTACCTCAAAAGGAGAAAGGAAAATCAGTGTAATCTCCAAAATGTTTTTGAGGTGGGCTGACCAGAGCTCTGATGTATGTGGCCACCGTATGGTCACTGAACCACCCTGGCAGGGTGAAATCCAGAGAAGCGATTAACAAAATTTTCGTGACAAAGATTCCAATAAATTAAGACTGTGCTTCAGGGTGGAAACCAGGTACTTACCAGACCCTGAAAAAAATCTCTCCCACATATATAAAGTGTTGCTTTAAAGGATAAAGCAAGCATCTTCAGCCCAAACAGACTTGCTTATAATCAGAATCAATTCCAGATACTAGAAAAGTGCTAAAGTGTGAAAGGCATCCTTTTTGCTTTTTAGCATGAAGCAAAATAACTGATAGTGGGGGTTTCTTCGCACCTATTAAAGAAACATAGATAAATAGAACAGCAGGGATGGCACTTGCCTTACATGCGGCCCACCCAGCTTTGATCTCCAGTGACCCATATGGTTCCCTGAGCCCACCAGTAGTGATTCCTGAGTGCAGGGCCAGGAGTAATCCCTGGGTACTACCAGGAGTGGCCACAAAATCAAGGAAAGAAAGAAAGAAGGAAAGGAAGAAAGAAGGGAAGAAAGAAAGAAGGGAAGAAAGAACGAAGGAAAGGAAGGGAGGGAGGGAGGAAGGAAGAAAGGAGAAGAAAGAAATAGAAAGAAAGATAGAAAGAAAGAAAGAAAGAAAGAAAGAAAGGGAGAAAGAGAGAGGGAATAAAAACATCTTTGTACTGACTAAATAAACATACACATATTAAGGTAAATACCCAGGAGTGACTCAGTTTGTGGAATGAATTTTCAAAACTATATACGTGTATTTGGGGCAAAAGACATTAAATTTTTCTGATCTTAAAGTAACCACCAATTGGAAGAACAAGATAGTATAATTTCTCTCTTCTGAAAATGATTATGTGGCATTAATCTCCAATATTCCATTAAAATTTCTAACTGCTCCAACAAGTCTGTCTGCTTTCTATTTCCGAGAGCCTCTGTTCGTGGGTGCTGTTTCTGCCCCTCTTCGATTTGGGTGCCTCAGTTACGAGACTCGAAGAGCATAATTCTGAATGATGAATGGGAAGAAAAGAGGAATTGAGAGGCCTTCTTCTTTATGGACTAGGAGTCAGAATCCACAGGGAAGCAGAAATAGCCACTTCAGAGCCACGGCCTATTTTAAAGTGTCATCAAAGCCAAAGTACCTGGCTTCGTTCTTCCTGGTTCCTGCCATTCCAAATCGGGAAGACTGGAACCAACCCAGCCAACTGAAAGCTCCTTTCAGGGGCCTCAGGGAACCAAAGGTTCAGTTACTTTAGAAATCTAAAACCCAAACCACACAGACCCAGTTTTAAATTTGGTTTCTTAAACTGCTGTGACCGAAGGCCAACAGGAGAAAGAAAACGAAATATACAGAGAGGGCTTCTGAGTGGAAGCAAGCCTCTGCCGAGCGCTGGCTGCAGCTGGTCAGTCATCAGGCAATGAATAATGGAAGAAAAGCTTCCTGGCATTGCCCCTGCCCACCTGGCAGAAGCCTCAGGCAATACGCACAGGGTGAATGCTTTTTCTCTGCCCCGGTGTCTTGATTTATCATGAAAATGCATAACAATAGGGCCTAAAACCAGAACTAGACCTTAAATTCACAATCTCTGAATCACCACCCCCCCCAACACACACACACACACACACACACACACACACACACACACACAGAGGACCTGATCCTTTCAAGTACAGCTGCGACTTTCAACCAGGAAGCTCAAGAAATGCTTGTCTTCTAGGGCTGGGTTTTGCAGGGTGAGAGATCTCTGGGCCACTTGCTTCCATGAGATAGATGGGTGAGAGTTTCGAGTTCAAACCAAGAAAGACAAGTCCATTCCGTATCTGCTCTCTTAAACGCACAGGAATGGCAACCCCTCCTCTCCACCGCCTCCCCTCCCCCAAACCAGACCACACTTACTTGTATCTTAGAAACAGCCACTGGGTGATCCACAGCACAACTAATATAATCCCATTGATTTCTGATACAGAAAACGCCCAGTTCACCCGATCAATGTAATCAAAAAACTTGTCCGGGAGCGGAGGGCTGAGCTCCTTGGGAGGGACCCTCTCGTGGACAACTGTGATCATGACTGTGGTCAGGACGAGGTTGAAGAGGGCATACACGAAGGCGACACCCGTCTTCCACCACTCCAAGGGGAACTTGTTCCTCGAGTCAGTGGGCATAGCGATCTGGATATAGTCCGGGTACTTCTTGGTGCCTTTCCGCAGTCCGTTGGGTAAGCTCTTAGCTTTCCCGGGGCCATTTTTGTTCTCTTCTTCGCTGGGCTCTGCAGGTCTTGTGTAGGTGCTGGCGGGGTCTGCAGTCTGGTTTTCCATGTGTTCATCCAGTTTGGCTGTCTCTATGATATCCATGGTCCCACTGTTTTTAGAATCAAAAGAGAGGTGGCAAAGTTCTTGCTCGGTGTGGACCCCTGACTTCTTGAAGTCCGTCTATTTCCGAGATCCACATGGACTCTTGGCATGCATTTCCTGGAACAGGGCGGGGGCAGCGCTGTCTAATCACAGCTCCTCTCCGCACTACAGGAGCCACTTACGAGAAAGGAAACCAATTTTCTGTCCCCAGAGGATGTTCTTATCCCACCTGTGAAAACAAAACAAAATTCCATTCAGCAAAGGCGCTCATCCAATTGTCAGCCCTCCCGAGCACAAGCACCAAGAAGAAACAAGTACCAGAGCCGCTGCTTTACAAAGACATCGCCACCACATCGCTCCCGTGGCCGAGGTGGAGCTCACTGGTCTGAATCTGAATCGTTTAACCTGGGGATCCTTGTCTCCTGATGAGCTGATGTCAGGATCAGTGGGAACATTTTAACAATCAATTCCTTTCAGATTCCTTTAAATAAAAGTCAAACCCCAACATGGCAAGCACTTCCTTGTTGCTATCCGTGAAGTCATAATAAGCCAGAACCTCCCAGAGACACATCATTCCCCGGACGCATCTTGTCCTGAGCCCCCAAGAAGGAGAACAAAGCTCTTGGGCCACAGGGTGCGGGTGTTCTCTGCATCTGCCGACAGTTGGGTTTTCATTTTCTCCTGGGAAACCTGGAGTCTTTCTAAGTGGCCACTTTTCTGGAGTAAATTCAAACCCCACACATTCAAGAGATCTTAGATTACTGCCTCCACGAGAGCCCCTCCACCTGCAGAGACGCTATGAAACCAGCACAAGGCCCAACCCACCCGTGAAAATACGCCAAGGCTTAGTTAGCTGCATCTCATTTAGGGGACAAATTCTACTGGTTGCTAGAAGAAGAAAATGATTTCCTACAAGCAGTATTTCTGATACCGAGTGTCACATCTACCCAACAGGAGGCCAGAGGACCGTCTGGGCACTTACCCCTGCGACAGCATTGACTTGTCATGAGCAAAGGCTGCCTTGGGCGAGGCTGCCCTGGGGTTTCTGGCTGCGCTGCCCCAGCACTGATGCTCTTATTATACCCACGCTAATTTCAGTCCGGCTGCAGCTCCCGCCACCTGAAGAGGTTCCAAACCTCGAAACAAGTCCCCGCCCTGAGGACATCTAAAATTCTCCCTTTCATGGGGACTTCAGGCATGCGGCAAGAGAGGGGGGTGACAGCTAAGGCTTTGTGGAATGAAAGGGGAGAGTTAAAATGGCACAGTCAATATGGACAGCCAATATTTGCTGGTAGTTGGGGGAGGGCAAACAGATCAACCACAAGTGTTTATTGTGCTTCTCAAAGTCTTCCGCAGCACTGGGGCAATTCAAAAGATTATTTAAGACACACACACACACACACACCCTCCAACCTGAACACTCATCCAAGGAACCTCCAGCTGCACAGAGAGAGAAGTAAAGTGGCTGAGGACTGAGGAAAGCGAACAGGAGAACAGCTGCCCTGAAGGGAAATGGGGAGGTCAAGGAAGAGTGGGGGTGGGGCTCAGAATTTCCAACAATTCCCCTCTCTCTCTGGCCGCTCGTTCAAACCCCAAGACATGGCCACACCAAGAAGAAAGGACCAGAGCCCCTTGACACTAAATGGGGGACCCCCAGGGGTCCCCTAGCAGTGAGAAGAATGAGAATGACCAGGAGGTGCTTTGGTAAGAGAGTCCTAAAAACCAACCTTCACCCCCATGGATTACCACATCCCCTGGAGGCGGCAGAGTGCTATCTCAGCCATCGTGTGTCTCTTGGTATGGCTTTGGGCTATGCCACTCGGAGCATCTCAACAGACCAGCAACCAAATACCCGCCACCTTCACAAGCCCCCCACTCCACATCCTCTAGAGCCTGGCATGCACTGGCCCAAGAGCTTGTGATTTTGAAACCCAGGCCTGCCCTCACATGGGGTAGCTAGTGTTGCTGCCCCATTCTAGAATGCAGAATGTAGAGCAGAAGAAACTCCAATTAATTATCCTTTTTGAAGAGAAAGCTCTCGCCATCTGCCTCCTGGGACAAGGTGAGGATGACTGAAATAATTAATTGAGAGGAGCTCTGTGTCCTGGGAGTCTGAGCACGGTGAGTGCCAGCCCCATTTATCGTCATTAGTGGCAGGATTGATATATATGTTCCTTGGGGCTTCATTAAGAAGATTAAATATACAAATCATATTTTTCACGTGTCAACTGATCTTGGGATTTGATGTTTATCACCTAGAAAACGATCACGACATGCCCCTTCCAGGGTGACCCCTGCCTCCTGTGAGGGCCTGGGAAATGGACAATGCTACAGCAGTTCCTCTCAACGCCTGAGCATGAGTTTATCAGTTCAGGGCATCAACAGGCCTGAAGGAGGCAAAAGCCCTCCCCGGGCCCCCAATATCGCCAAAGGCTGGAGATGAGAGGAGGAGGAGGAGAAGAATTTTAAAAGTTAGAGATTGCTGTAGACTGTTTTTCCTCTTGAAAGCAATTCCTGAAAAAAATGCCTGAAACTTTGATTACAACCAACAGTGCTTTGTTGGTGAGTTTTATTTATTTATTTATTTATTTATTTAAGAACAATGATTTATTCCAGAAAGCTTTCAAATTAGGAAAAGGATGATACTAAAAATTAACAAAGAATTGTACTAAAATCCACAAGGTAAAAAGATATATGACCATCCCGGGTCAGGTTCAAATGGCACTTTTGGTGAAATTCACCATCCACTTTATTCAGGGGGGAGAAATATTCAATAGTAGGAATAGAAGTGTAGGAATATGCTCCGATAATGCCAAGATCACAGTTTTCACTGCTGTATTCTAATAGCTGGTGCAGTTTCCCAAAGTGGGGATACAGGCACCCACTACGTGTGTGTGTGTGTGTGTGTGTGTGTGTGTGTGTGTGTGTGCAGGGATAATCCTGGAGGGCCAAAGAAGCATGGGTGCTGCTGGCTATGACCTCTCTTATTCACTTAAGTGGATTTCCAGGGGAATGTGGAGCATCTGTCTGTGAAACGTCTGGTAGGCTGTAGAGCTTGGGACCCTCTGATCTAGCTTAAAGACCCCTTTTTGGGGACTAAAGAAGTATTAGCATTATGAACATATGTGTGTGTGTGTGTGTGTGTTCCCTTACATGAAATCACATCATTTTGCTTCTAAGTTTCTTTTTCCATTATCTCTACTATATTGCAAAAATCTCGGCTATACCATATTAATATGTAATTTCAGTCATTTTCTTGCAATGTTACCAAGAGGATGAGGTCGCCAGGAAGCTGAAGTGGCAATGGGAGATAAGCAGCCGAGAGAGGGATGCTGTCACACACCCACACAGGCAGACGCACCGGCCATTCTCTGCTGTGAACATCTCCCAGGGAAGTAAGACACATACAAAGTATTTCTGCCATTACGCCTTTTTTTCCAGTTTAGTGTCTCTCTATTCCATACTTACAATTTGCAAATGCTTGAACCACATTTTCTGAGATAAATGTTTAACTTCTATCTGGAAGAGATTCTGTCTTTTTAAACATGACAGTCGGCATGTCACCTTCCTAAGGAAACCTGGGGCTTGTCTGCAGGGCAGTGCTGGCTTGGGGCTAGTTTAGTCTCACAGAAGAGACACAGCAAGGAGAGGGACTGAGAAGCTGCTGCCTTCTGGCTGTGCTTGGGCGGAGCTTCAGAGGGTAAGGCACTGGGGCCAGAGAGGAAGCACAGCAAGGACATGTGTCTTATGGGCAGTTGAGGCAGGTGTGAATCCCCAGCACCCCACGTGGTCCCCTGGGCACTGCCAGGAGTGATCCTTGAGTACAGAGCCTGGAGTAAGTCCTGAGTATCCACACAAAACAACAACAAAACCCTTAAAATTAAAACAAAACAAGACTAGATATTTCTGATACCCTAAAAGAGAAAATTCAGCCTCCCTCAAGAAAATAAAAATCAAAAATAAGTATGACTGAAACATAAGCATGAAAGTTTGTAAGTCTGTCACTGTATCTCATGGTGATTCATTTAAAAATAAAAAAATAAAAAAATTTTTTTAAATTAAAAATATCTAGTCAGAATAAAACAGACAATGAATAAAGAGTTCTTTATTCAAACGATACGGAGGCCGTAGGTATTGTGCGCATTAGGTCATCTCATTCTCATAACAATCCAGGAAAAGATCGGAGAGAAATGGGAAAATGGGCCAGAGAAACGCCTCAAATGGCTGAGGAATCTTTCCCACACCGAAGGCCTGGGCTTGCGTGATGCTCTGCCAGCCTGCCCACAGCTAGACAGTGACAACCAACAAACACCCACAATGTGGAGAGTGAGTTCCCCAAAGGCAGGCGAGCAGGAAGGCGTGCCGAGTGGCCCCTGGAATCTGAGGTCAGGAGACCCCGACCTCTCTTGTCCCTCGGGTGTCAGGGTCTCAGGATGTGAGAATCAACAATGAACTTTTTATTTTTCTATTGGTTTCTGGGGATACACCCAGCCATGCTCAGGGCTTACTCCTGGCTCTGCACCCAGGAATTACTCCTGGCAGTGGTCAGGGAACCATATGGGATGCCGGGGATTGAACCTGGGTCAGCTGTTGCAAGGCAAGCACCCTACATGCTGTTCTCTCTCTCTGGCCCCTGCCGAAGATGAGTTTTTTTAAAACACACACACACACACACACACACACACACACACACACACAAATACACAGAAAGTCTCCTAGGTCACATAATAAACAATTCTCAACTGTAATTTTTTGGGAAAATATGTAAAGTGAGAAAAAAAGTTATTATAGGATTCACCACCACTCCCTTGTGGGGGAGGGGCTTATTACGTCTCTCCCATAATCCACATCTACGTTTCTTTCTTTCTTTGTTTTTTTGCTCCTTGGTTCATACCCGCTGATGCTCAGGGGTTCCTCCTGGTTCTGCACTCAGAAATTATTTCTGGCAGTGCTCAGGGGGACCATAAAGGATGGTCTAGGAATCGAACCCAGGTCAGCTGTGTGCAAGGTAAACACCCTATCTGCGGTACTTTCTCTCCAGTCCCGACGTTTAGTTCCTAATAAATATCCTAATAAATTTTTAAAACAAATACCTCATTTTATGTCTACAGGATTCAGTTAAGCTGAGAAATGTTCTATCCCTAAGCCTTTTGGGGGAGGGATGGTGAGGTCTGGGGCCACACCCTGCTGTGCTCAGGGCCAAACTCCTGGTTCTGTGCTCAGGGATCA